GATGATAGTATTTTTCAACTAATTCATCCATACTTTTTTTTCTTGATATTTATCAAAGTTATTTGTAGTTAATTTATCTCTCTAACTCATGCAAGTCAAAATAATTATAATTGACACCAATAAAAAATAGTGTCAACCAAATCAATTGAAAAAGAAAATCCTTTATCAACATAAACTAGAAAAATCTTAATGAAATTTAATCAAAAAATAATCTCAACATGACCAAAAAATACCATCAAGTGATTTTTAATATTAAAATATACATTTATTTAGTGATAATTGAAATATTCAATCAAAGATACATAAATTTCAATTAATTTGAAAAGTAAACAATCAAAATTCAATGCATTTTAATTTCCTTTGAATTGTGAAATCCCATCACCAAAAGACATTAAGATAAGCTTGGCAACATAATGTTGAAGTGCATTTATACTTCTAACAATAGCAACATGAACATTTGCACAAATAAAATAACAACCATGAAATAAAGCAATTAGAATTAAAAATGACAAAAGAATAATAAATCTAATTTAGCAAGGACAAAATTTGATGACAACTAGAAAGAAAAGACACCAAATGTTTTTTTATTCGATTTCTCACTCTATTGTAATCCTAAAGGTCTGCAGCTGAAAAGCAACTACAGAGAATAATACCATAGCCAAATATATGTTATGCATTAAATAAAGTCTAAAAATTTCAAACAGTGAGATGGTGACAACATCCCAATCCTCTTCATATTGGAAACTTCTCACGCCGGCTCAGAAGAAAACAAATGAAAACAAAAAAGAAAAAAGAAAAAGGAAAAATTACCCCAACAAATTTATAAGGTCTTTAAAATTGAAAACTAGCCAATCAGCTTTCACAGCAACAGATTCTCGAAGTTGAACACCAGCATAGCAAATGAACAAGTCAGCACCACCTGGTTGACGAGCCTAAAAGTGGGCTCATAAACAGCACACAATTACTATCACATATGAATAAGGTATAACAGGAAATAACTAACAATGACACAACAATTTTGATAAAAATATTTAAAAGGGTTAAATATTTTTTATCATTAAATTATCATAAAAGATTGTGTTTTGCTCTTAAACTAAATTATAAAGTATTGCACTTTTATATTTTGTGAAAGTCATGTAAAACATTCTCTCCAACAAACAACATGTGAAGGTTATAGTGTAATGTAAAACTATGTTTGTTGGGAAAGATGTTTTACGCAACTTTCATAAGGTGCATACACAAAATACTTTATAATTTAGTTTTGGGGGAAAATACAATTCTTTTAGCAGTTTTAAGAGAAAAAGAACATATTTAATCCTGTTTAAAAAAAGTTTGTTTACCAATAAAAAGTCAACATTATTTTTGGTCATTTGTGTGTGAAATCTACAGAGAGAAAAAACAATGATTATAACATTGTTATGTGTCAGATGCCAATATAGTGTTGAGATAGGTTGTTTCAGATTAGAAAAACAAAATGCCTAATCAGTTGGAAATGAGATTTTCCATAAAATAACCAGGAAATACGTTTTCTTACCTCCATATCAGTAGCACCATCCCCCACCATGGTTAAAGTTTTGAAACCATGAGCCTGGAAATCAGTTTGATCAGCTTTAAGCAATGAAAGTAGTTCAAGAAAAAAAAATTCACATGTGAGTACTGCCTGAACCTTCTTGATCTGTTGGACAGCAACAGCTTTTCCTCCACTCCTTGAAGTAGGCTCTCTTGTATCGAACCCCAGAAACTCTCCAGAGCTCTTAAAAAGTAGGTTATTGGCAAAAATATGGCTTTCTGGAATTCCAAGTATTGATGCAACAGGCTTCATAAGAAGAGTGCAGGAGTTAAAACAAAGTATCTAATCCATTACCCTTTATTCATAGAACATGTCAAATGTAAAAGCACAGCATACAACTCTGAATGTCATGACAAAAATCATTTGAATGGGAAGAGAATTAGAAGACAGACTATAGATGCTAATTATATCCATTCCAGAATGCATCAACCCTCTCTCACATTCATTCCAGAATCTGAAGTAAAATATAGATGTATTCTGCAAGAGACATGTGTGGTGATCTTCAAGATTACGGGCATTCAATGACTGAATGAACTAGTTATGAAATATTTTCAGTGACAGAAGAAAAAATGTTTATCCAAATTCACAACATGCCATAGAAACAATTGATTTCTCCCAAAGCACAAAGTGGATCAGAAAAACCATTAATTTCAACTATTATTCGTACATTGATCATTTGTCGGAAGCCACCAGAGACAAGATAAACAGCAATGCCATTAGCCTTTAACTTCTGGACTAACTCTTCTATGCCAGGGGAAAGCCTGCACATTAAGAAATAGAATCGTAAACATTATTCCAAATCTGTCTGAACTAAACACATNCTCAAAGATCTTATCTCAGGGGCTACAACATCAAAAGCATGAGCCCTAAGCCACAAAGAAAATCCACCTTGGAAGAAAACCTCTGTAGTTGAAGCCATACTTGCACCGTTGAAGCCACACCTTGGAAATTTTATAAAAATAGAGTTGCTCCTCTATTTTAAGGACTTCTGGACATACTCTTGGGACAAACTTTTTTAAAGAGTTTCTTAGACATTTTTCTCTGTAATTTTAAAGAACGTTATTAGAGGTCTTAAGAGATTATGAATCCTCCTTGGATTGTAACATTTTCATCTATTATGAGGAGCTAAATCTCTTAAAGTGTAGAAGCAAAGATGTAACCATTTGGAACTGTCTTGTTGGTACTATTTTATTTATCAAAGTATGCTTTTATTACATATTTGTGAATTCTTTTGTATTCACTATTGGATTAACTAATCACTCATTTTATTTCAATGGCTTGGGATTGAGTGTGAACTGATTTCAAGTTGTGGTCCAACTAATTTTCCTTCTACTTTTAGATGCTAGGAATAGATCTAAGGCTCTGGCTACTTATAGAGTCATGGTCTTAATGCAAGTGATCCATTGAAGTAGTGATATGATCATAGATAGGGTAAGAATGAAGAGTTTAAAGAGTGACAAGAAGCACAAAAGGAATATCATAGGTTTTTCTTAGGGTTGTATTTTTTCTATTCTAGTTTCTAGTTTCTTTCTCTTTGTTTGGTTGTAAAGAAGCTTATATATTCTTCTCTTCTTTAAGGTGCAAGTAATGTGAGACTTCACATAGCTTAGACTTAAAAGAAAGAAGAATAAATAAGTCTCTTCTCCTTTTAGTTGCTTAAATCACAAGTTATCTCATGTATAATTTTAGTTTTGATCTTTAGACTAACTAGGTAGCTTATATACTCGTAGTAGGATGTAGTTCTCTTCGGCCTGTGATGCGGGAAAGATGTTTTTTTTTAGCCATGTGATGCGGGAAAGATGTTCTCTTTTGGTCATGTGATACGGGAAGAGGGTAATGTGTGACTCGTAATGAATTAGTTATGATGATTAGGTGGTGTGGTAATGTAGGAAAAATAGACCACTAAGTTGTGATGATGATGGGTTGTTGTATTTAAGTTGTTGGTGTGTTATTATTGTGATGAACGTTTAACATTTGTTAGTTATATTATGTTTATTATAATTGATCCTTAGTTAGTTCACCCGTATGTTTATGGTTATGATTTCTACTTGCAATAATCATTATACAGGAGCATATAATCATGAAGATAATTCAGATATGGTATAACACAACGAGCAAATTGAAAAAATTGAAAAATTTACGAATTTATTTTAAATAAAATATTTTATTGGTAATTTTATTTTGTAATCAATTGAAATTATGGTTCAGTTTTGATTAATTGTAAAGATTTATTGAATTTGGATTTTCGAATGATAATATGTTTTAACATTTTAAATTTTTTTGTTCGTAACCGTAACATCCCAAATGTTACGATTTTTATTGTCATTTTATTCTTTATAATATAATATATATTAATTATTTAAAAAAATATAATTATTAATTGATTTTTAAAAGTAACATTATTTTGAAATATTTTGTATAAAATTGTCATAACATTCAAATATTTTTTAATACTATTATTGTACATATATTATTTACTTAATAATACAATATAAATATTATTAAAAATATACGAATTTGAAATTCTTGATAGTCCCTTCCCTATCAGATGTGATTATTTATCTTAATCTTCTCTCATGGACACAACCTCAATCAAGTGTCATTGACTTAAGTTAGGTCTAAACTTTGCTAGTTTAGCTTTGGACAAAATGTCATCATCCATTGCCAAAGCCATTTTTCCATTGATATAAACAAAGATAATTATAACATCAATAAGACTATTTGTTAATATGTGCAAGTTAATTTTCAATCGACCTTGATGCAGGATATTTATTTTTTCAATTAACATTGTTGAAGTTATTTTTCCATCAATTTAGACCAAAATTATTTTTCCATCAACATTAATTAAAGCTTTCTCAACTAATACCGATGATAGTATTTTTCAACTAATTCATCCATACTTTTTTTTCTTGATATTTATCAAAGTTATTTGTAGTTAATTTATCTCTCTAACTCATGCAAGTCAAAATAATTATAATTGACACCAATAAAAAATAGTGTCAACCAAATCAATTGAAAAAGAAAATCCTTTATCAACATAAACTAGAAAAATCTTAATGAAATTTAATCAAAAAATAATCTCAACATGACCAAAAAATACCATCAAGTGATTTTTAATATTAAAATATACATTTATTTAGTGATAATTGAAATATTCAATCAAAGATACATAAATTTCAATTAATTTGAAAAGTAAACAATCAAAATTCAATGCATTTTAATTTCCTTTGAATTGTGAAATCCCATCACCAAAAGACAATAAGATAAGCTTGGCAACATAATGTTGAAGTGCATTTATACTTCTAACAATAGCAACATGAACATTTGCACAAATAAAATAACAACCATGAAATAAAGCAATTAGAATTAAAAATGACAAAAGAATAATAAATCTAATTTAGCAAGGACAAAATTTGATGACAACTAGAAAGAAAAGACACCAAATGTTTTTTTATTCGATTTCTCACTCTATTGTAATCCTAAAGGTCTGCAGCTGAAAAGCAACTACAGAGAATAATACCATAGCCAAATATATGTTATGCATTAAATAAAGTCTAAAAATTTCAAACAGTGAGATGGTGACAACATCCCAATCCTCTTCATATTGGAAACTTCTCACGCCGGCTCAGAAGAAAACAAATGAAAACAAAAAAGAAAAAAGAAAAAGGAAAAATTACCCCAACAAATTTATAAGGTCTTTAAAATTGAAAACTAGCCAATCAGCTTTCACAGCAACAGATTCTCGAAGTTGAACACCAGCATAGCAAATGAACAAGTCAGCACCACCTGGTTGACGAGCCTAAAAGTGGGCTCATAAACAGCACACAATTACTATCACATATGAATAAGGTATAACAGGAAATAACTAACAATGACACAACAATTTTGATAAAAATATTTAAAAGGGTTAAATATTTTTTATCATTAAATTATCATAAAAGATTGTGTTTTGCTCTTAAACTAAATTATAAAGTATTGCACTTTTATATTTTGTGAAAGTCATGTAAAACATTCTCTCCAACAAACAACATGTGAAGGTTATAGTGTAATGTAAAACTATGTTTGTTGGGAAAGATGTTTTACGCAACTTTCATAAGATGCATACACAAAATACTTTATAATTTAGTTTTGGGGGAAAATACAATTCTTTTAGCAGTTTTAAGAGAAAAAGAACATATTTAATCCTGTTTAAAAAAAGTTTGTTTACCAATAAAAAGTCAACATTATTTTTGGTCATTTGTGTGTGAAATCTACAGAGAGAAAAAACAATGATTATAACATTGTTATGTGTCAGATGCCAATATAGTGTTGAGATAGGTTGTTTCAGATTAGAAAAACAAAATGCCTAATCAGTTGGAAATGAGATTTTCCATAAAATAACCAGGAAATACGTTTTCTTACCTCCATATCAGTAGCACCATCCCCCACCATGGTTAAAGTTTTGAAACCATGAGCCTGGAAATCAGTTTGATCAGCTTTAAGCAATGAAAGTAGTTCAAGAAAAAAAAATTCACATGTGAGTACTGCCTGAACCTTCTTGATCTGTTGGACAGCAACAGCTTTTCCTCCACTCCTTGAAGTAGGCTCTCTTGTATCGAACCCCAGAAACTCTCCAGAGCTCTTAAAAAGTAGGTTATTGGCAAAAATATGGCTTTCTGGAATTCCAAGTATTGATGCAACAGGCTTCATAAGAAGAGTGCAGGAGTTAAAACAAAGTATCTAATCCATTACCCTTTATTCATAGAACATGTCAAATGTAAAAGCACAGCATACAACTCTGAATGTCATGACAAAAATCATTTGAATGGGAAGAGAATTAGAAGACAGACTATAGATGCTAATTATATCCATTCCAGAATGCATCAACCCTCTCTCACATTCATTCCAGAATCTGAAGTAAAATATAGATGTATTCTGCAAGAGACATGTGTGGTGATCTTCAAGATTACGGGCATTCAATGACTGAATGAACTAGTTATGAAATATTTTCAGTGACAGAAGAAAAAATGTTTATCCAAATTCACAACATGCCATAGAAACAATTGATTTCTCCCAAAGCACAAAGTGGATCAGAAAAACCATTAATTTCAACTATTATTCGTACATTGATCATTTGACGGAAGCCACCAGAGACAAGATAAACAGCAATGCCATTAGCCTTTAACTTCTGGACTAACTCTTCTATGCCAGGGGAAAGCCTGCACATTAAGAAATAGAATCGTAAACATTATTCCAAATCTGTCTGAACTAAACACATGTCAAGATACTCGTGGGAGAAATGAGGATTTGAAGGTGAA